AGTCCTAGAAAAGTTATAAGACATTGTTGTATGCTCAGACATTCCATAAAAACACAAAGCCAGAATCGATAATGTATATGTAAAGGACCTATAGATCCTTTATTATAAATATAAAAAATTTAAAAAGATAAAATTTAAAAGAAATAAAATAAAATGTAAAAAAGGCCCTGATGTGACATTCTGAGACAGGACTCTCCCCTGATGCTGTTCAGCTCATTGACTGTTGGCATCTGCTGCTGGGCACGCAGCCTAGACTTAAGAGTAGTTTGTTTCTCCAGTGAGACTTCTTTGGAAAAAATAAATTTTTATTTGAAAGTGGTTATCAGTGGGAGATAGCTTCTAGATTATGGATGGGGGCGTGTCCATTTCTCCTTTCCGCACTTGAACCCCATTGTGTGCCCACTTTGAAGGCCCGTTTCATTGTACCTTAGTCTCTGAGTTCACTGTGCATCCATCTTGTTGATTTAGAGGGCCTTGTTTGTTCTGGTCCTTCATCCCCCTTGGCTCTTCCACTCACTCTGCCTCATCTTCCATGGGTTTCTCCGACTCTGAGGGGGATATCCAGTTCAGCACTGAGTACTCCAAAGTCTCTCACTCTCTGCAGAATGTCTGGCTGTGGCTCCCTGTGTTTGTTCCCATGTGCTGAGGTAGGAAGGTTCACTACTGATGGCTGAGCAAGGCGCTGATCCCATCTGTTTTGGTTTCATTTTAACAGTGAAAGGGAAGACCTTTCCTTCTGACCCATGTACCACTTTCAGAATGTGTTCAGACTTCAACGCTGCCAATAGTCCCAGAGGTAAAAAAGAGGTCAAGAGTAACAGCCTGAGGACAGCAATTGCAGAAATCTTCTCAAGGCTCCAGGAAAGCATGGAAGAAATGAATCCAGTCCCACAGACAGTGGTTGAAAACCTTACCTTGGGTCTAATCAAAGCTAGGTTCCCAACTCATTTCAAAGGGTTATGTTTCTTTCCTCACATGTCAAAACAGGAAATTGGAAGCTCTGTAGAAGAAAAACCAAGTCTCCATTTGAAAAGCACCTTTGGTATCATTTAGCACTTATTTATTTGATGCAGTTGGAAACTGAGTGCCAGAGATGGGCATTTGTCCACTGTCATGTCTACAACCTGATATGCCCCCCCCCCCCAGTATTCAAGTTCTGATTTATCTTCTAGATGGTTTCCAAGGTTCTTCCAAGTTCAAGAGCTTTTTGCTCTTAAGATGGCCTCCCTCCCAGCTGCAGCTATGGACTCATTCTTTTATTGGTCACTAGAGGCTCCCTTTTGATACTCTTGATGACATACTGTACATAGCTTCTTGATTCTATGCAGCTTGTCAACCTCACATAAGCCTGGACAAATGTGTACTGCCAGGCTCACGGAGGGCATGCTGTATTGTGTGCATGGCCATCCAGGGTCAAATCAGGCAATATCTTTAGAGAAGCTATTGGGTAAGGACAAGATCAGGTTGGCAAGTTGACACTATAACCTTGAAGAAACCCCATTCTCTGCTGAGCTTCTGTTTTCTTATATTTAAAACAAGTTTGTTGAACTAGCTGATCCCTAAGGCACTGTTCAGCTGTGGTGTTCTGTTGCAGTGTGTTTCCTAATCTTTCTATTCCTGGGGGAATTTTAGTTAGAACCTAGGGGGAGTTCTTTACCACAGGAAACCCAGGAATGCTTGTAAGCGTTGAGATTACAAAACAAATTTGAGAATATTTTATGACCCTGTGCTTTTTCCTCTTGTTTTCTAAGCCCCACATCAAATGTTCACAGCCAAACTGTATCTTAATTCTTATTGGTAGATATACAGATAGGGGAAGCAGGGCTGATCCCTGCTTTATAAACTGGCTATGCTTTATCAGAAGGTTGCTACATTTGCCAGTCTTGGCGGGAGGCATAATTAGAGCCTCAGCTTCCTAGAATTAGATCCTACTAGCTGAGTATTTATCTGCTGGGGGCTCAGACATGTACATAAGTAAATTAAAATATATGGCATTCCACAGCCACGACCAGCTTTTTTTTTTTTTTTTTTGAAGGGAAAAAGAGAGCCTGTTTGGAATATTATGAAAGTGTCCATAGAGGGAGGAAATAGCATGAACAAGAGTGTAGAAAAGGACGCCAGTGTGAGGTCTACTGAACGGGTGTTTTCCCAGCTGGGCACAGTGCTGTGAAGAGGTTATATTGCAGAAGACTCATTATATGTAAATGTCATATTTTCTTAGCTAGTGTATAAGTTTTTCTTATAGAAATATTTATTCAAATCATCTTTGGTTCCTTATTAGGACTGATGCAAAAAGCATCTCTCAAAACTGCTTGATGAATAAATGGGTTATAGTAGAGGCATTTCCTCCCAAACTATCAGTATGTTGGGTTGACACAACCTTATCACACACTCCTTGGAGGCAGGTTGAACATGACACTTCTTTTGTTGACTGTCACAGACATGAAATGCTGTCCCTTGGCTCTGAAATTGTAGATAGGCTATCTCTCACCTGGAGAAAGATGTGTTGTGATCATCAGCTTCTAACAGTTAAAATATAACGTGTATGTGACATGAACATGATGTTGAATTCAGTAACTGATACAGAAAAATAAGTATATCAACCTCAGTTCTTTGTAACAGCCCATGAGACCATTCCTACAGATAGGAGAACAAAGAAATCCCAGGAATTGCTCCTGAGTATCCCCTGAAAAAAAAAAAAAAACATTCTAACAACTGTTAGCTACTCTTCCTGTTGTTGCAATAAAAATACCCAACAAAAATAACATAAGGAAGGAAGGGTTAATTTTGGCTCACAGTTTGAGGGAGCAGTCTATCCTGGTGAGGAAGTTGTGGATGGAGGAGTGTGAGAAAGCTGGTCCCATTTCATTCGCAATCAGGAAGCAAGACGAGGAATGTCAGAATCAGTTTGCTTTCTCCTTTTGTTCAGTCCAGGATCTCAGACCATGAAATGGTGCTGCCCAAAGTGAAGAGTCACAAAACTGGCTCAGTTAGTCTCATGTGGATTCTTTCTCATAGGCTTGGCTGGAGGCTTGACTCCTAAGTGATCTTACATACTGTCAGGTTGACAATCGACGTCAACCGTCACAACAAAGATGGATCCAGACTGTGACAGTTAAGATGCAAAGGAATCTACATTTTTATGTCTATCTGGATTCTGGTTGTAGATAACATTCCAATACTTATAAATAGTCATAGCACCAAATAGAGATACACAAATGAATAGAGTAAAATGAGGAAATCTAAATAATATAGGTTGTATCATCCAGGTATGGTGATTCTAGCACCCAAGAAGACAAAAGGAAGATTGCTGCCAATTTGAAGTTATGTTAGGCTACACAGTGAATTTGATGTTTGTCTGGCCCACATACCAAGACTTTGGTTGTGATATAACACTACACAACCACAGATATTAGCATTGGGGGAGACTATGTAGAGAACACATTGATTCCTTCTATTTCCACTTCTACCTGCATTAAGGCTAGTTCTCGTGATGCAGTTTTCTCTAAGAGAGGGAAATCAGCTAAGTTCACTAGTGAACTTTTGCAGGAAATAATTACACCAATTCTCTTTCAGAAGACAGTATAACAAGAAATACTTTCCAAATGCATTCAACTAGGCCACCATTACCATATTATAAAAAAATCAGTTAGTCAATACAAATAAAGAGAAATTCTGAAAGTAATACAGTTGAATCCAAAGACTCACACATACAGGGCAGGGGAGACGGCTCTGAGAGTGTGAGCATCTGCTTTTGAAGCATGTGGACCTGAGTCTAAAGCCCTGGCACCTGAGACATAGCCCCACCAGATATGGTTGCCTCAGACTGCCATTAACACTGGGAGGTGGAGACTGGGAGCTCACTGGCTAGGTCTACCTGGATAGGAAAGGTGAGATTAGGATTCAGTAAGAGATTCTATGTCAGGTGAGGAGCAATAGAGAAAAACATTTACACCCACTTCCAGCCTCCACCCGTGTGCACATAGCCATACATACCTGTGTATGTGCACGTGTCTGCACATGCATGCGCGTACACACACACACACACACACACAGAATCAGTCAATCAATCAATCAATCAGGTAAACAATCAAATTTATGAACCATGACCAAGTGGGACTTATCCTAATTGTGCAAAAAAAAAGTTGGTTAGATATTCAAACATCAATTTATGTAACAATAAAGTGACAGGTTAGAGAGCAAACAGCACACAAGCATGTTAATAATACAGAAAAGGTATTTGACAAAATCCAATATCCATTCATGATCATATATGGCCATAGTGGATACTTGGCATCATCTCTATGTGAAAACCCATAGAACACACAGCTCCTACAGCGAACACAAACTGTATGCTTTGAGTGATAATGCTGTGCCATTCATTGTAGAGTCACTGACTATAATGTTCTTCTGGGGTGTGGGACATCAATAGAGGGGGTACTTGTGCGTGGGTAGGGAGAGTGTTCTTCTTTTTAACACTGATGTAAAAAATAAAGCTCACAGCAACAACAAAATCAAGTAGCATAAAAAGCAGGGAGACTTGTGAGCAGTGGCTCTGTGTTCTCCTGGAACCCCTGTGGCTCTCTGGAACCCTACTGGGGAGAGCTCGTTTCTCAACAGTGATTTCATAATGACCCTAGCACAGTACACTAGTTGTTTCCCTCACACTCGTTCAATCATGAATGTGGATGGAGTTTTCCAGAGGCAACATGACATGTGATATTGCAACAGAGGGCATGTGGCAGCAGCTAGGGCAGTTCAGCTGTCCCCAGTTAGGCAAGACGCTAGAGAGACTTTGAAAAAAAGAAAAAAAAAAGAAGTTAAACAGTAATTGTCTTCTCCCTGTGTCCATTTTGGTGAGGACAGTAACTGGTTTTGTTTGTTTGTTTGTTTTTAAATATGCTGGTTTAGCATGTAGTTTATTATTTTGAATAAGAGATAATAAGCATTTTCTTAATTAAAAAAAAAAAGGAATGTGATGGGCTTGCTCCTCTGTGAAGATTAACACACAAGTTACAAAGGTGCCAGTGTGGATTATCACTTCTGAATGAGTGTTGAGGAATCTCAAAGGACATGAACCCTGCTCACAAAAGAAAGCAGAGGTTTCTCCTTAGCGGGAGGGATACTTGACAGAAGGTCTAGACCTGGAAAGTTTGCTGGGAACGGAGAAGACACTGAGCAGAGTACACAGACACTACGCAAGCAAGTCCACTGGGCAGTAAAACGAAGCCAGAGGCACAGAAAGTGAAAGCAGGAGCTGTCAGGTAGGATGGGTCAAAAGTATGTGTATAAGTGTGTGTGTGTGCCTCTGTGTGTCTCTGTGTGGATGTGTGCGTGTAAGGTGTGTGTGTAGTGTGTAAGGTGGATGTGGGATTAGGAGACTCAAGTTCAGTTAAATAGAAGAGGTTGTTCTGTTGCTACACTGTTCTTCTGAGTCAGGTTTATGTAGCTGTAAATTATCTGCGATAACTCCTCCCATTTTATCATCTAGTTTTATGAGTTTTGACAAATGCATGTAGTTGTTTAGACAGTATCACAGTCAAACCATAGATTAGTTTCATGAAAAGAAAAATTATTTTTGGTCCTTCATAGTCAATACCAAGTCTATCCCAAGAGCCTGGTAGCCAATGCCGTATCTTTTTCTTTTTAAGAATGCCATATAAGTAAAAGAATTCGCTTTTTAGAATTGTTTCCTTGACTTATAATCCATTGAAAATTCATATCAATAGTTTTATTTTTTAATTGCTGGAGAGAAGTTCATTGGATTTTGTAGCCATTTCTACTAATCTATGGATGTGTGTGAGTTGTTTCCAGTGTTAGGTGCTCATAATGTTTTGTTTGGTTTGGTTCGGTTCGGTTCGGTTCGCTTTGCTTTGCTTTGCTTTTTTGTTGAGACGGGGTTTCTCTGCATAGCCCTGGCCGTCCTGGAACTCATTCCGTAGATCAGGTTGGTTTTGAAATCAGAGATTCTCCTACCTCTGCCTGCTGGATGCTGGTATTAAAGGCATGCACCAACACCATCAAATTTATGAATACAATTTTATACACATTGCTCTATGGGGATTTATGTGAGCATGGATTAGGAAGTGGTTTTACTAGAGGAAAGATGGTAGAATTGGTTGAGGAAGACAGGAATAGTCTCAGCTTAAGCTGTGTGCCTGCTCTTGTTATAATCTGTATGTAGGTGATTTGATTTAATGACTGTCGCTGCAGGATTCCGAAAAATCAATACTTTTCTAGTCAATTTTGCTTACAAGGGACATTAAGTTAGCAACTGAGATCAACTTGACAGCTTAAGCATCAAAGACTTTCTTCGGGATGCAGAAACCCAGCGGGAAAAAATACACAATCAAACAAGAGCAGTTCAAGAGAAATCCTTGGTCTTTTTCTCCATGAATCACCATGGTGGTCAGTCAGAAAGATTATAGCTGATGCAGCAAAACACCCAGAGCCAAAGTTTCATCACCAAACTAAGAGCTCAAGCATAAACCACTCTCTAGAGGCTGTTAAATGCATTTTAAATGAACTGTTTTCCAAGTAACAAGTCATCATACAAAGGAAACATCTTTCTCTGATGGAAGTTCTGTCTATAGGTGAGAGAATGACATTCTGGAAGGAACTTCCAAGAGTTGAATCCCATGTAATAACACATGTATTACTGAAAGAGAATAAAACTTACCCTGATGTCATCTAACATAAATGGGTTTCCTGGGAACATGGGAGACGACAAATGTGATAGCGTCACATAAGTATCGAGACCTGTTATTCTCAGAGCATGTTCTGAGCACCATCTTGCTATCCTATTGACTATGAATGCCAGGAGCCTTGTCCTGAGTGATCATTCTCTGGGTAGAGTCTAGCAAACACTCTGTTTCTAACTCTTCTACGTTCTTGGGCTGGGGGTAGCAACTAAGAGTTATATTTTTAATTTATTATTTCTAATTAAAGTACATATAGACCACTCTATCACTTTATATCATCAAAACTGAAAATTTTTGAAGTGTATTTGAGCCAATAGAGTAATAGACTCTTTGAAATAAAGGAAACTAGAAATATGGTTCATCCAGTTCTCCAACAAATCCCTCCCAAAGTTGCTCTTTTCCTAACCCCTCAAAGCTTAAGTATTTCCAATATTCTACAATGTCCAAATTACTTTCTGAGATTCCATTCAAATTTCATTTTCTCTCTGAAGCCCTTAATCAGAGACTTTTAAAAAGCCCTTCCTCTGTCCCTGTATGTCATCTCCACCTCTGCTGGAGCCTTTGTCCAAGCACACTGTTACTTACTCTTGTTTCCATTGCTGCTCCACGCTTGCTTAAGATCAATAATTCTGCTGTCTTCATTCCTTGTAACTTCATTTCTTTAAACAGTGCCTAGTTTGTACCAAGTACCCAATAAACATTTTTTAGCCGACAGTGACTCACTAGCTCCTGAAGCAGCCTGTTCCATTTGTCATTTATAAACTGTTCTAACAGAGTCTTCTTCTTTTCCTCCTCCTCC